TCTGCATTATGCCACACTTCCAGTACTGTAAATATGTAGATTCCAAACTTGATGCATTTAAAAAGTCATGTTTATTGAGTGCAAAGCTAGCAGTACATGCTATCAACAATTACCTACCATTTCATACGTGGGATGCATCACACCCTGTCCATATAGAAGATCTACAGTACTGTTTATGTACACACACATGAATGGACTAGTATATATTGGGGAACAGGGCGATCCATTGACCAAATACTGTTGTTCTTGTGATAGCATATATTTGGCAATTAAAGATACCAATTAAATGGATGTCATAAGATCATATGAGGCATGACTCCAAACCATCTGCACATTCCCTTGCAACATTCTTATGTAAAATGTGTGTGACATGAAAAATGTATCATGTCCCCCCCTTGACAAGTCTCCACCAATCAAAACCGTTCAGAAACTGTGGAAGAGTGGGGTTATGCATTAGGAGCAATGTTGGCTAATCAAAAATTAAGATTCTTTGCTGTGAGGCAATGACAATACTCTTTAATGTACAAGCAAGAATACTTATTAGGACTGTAACTTTGAACCAGCTTAAATGTAACATTGTGTAATAGCTTGACAAAATGTAACACATTTTCACTTCATTGTGTAATAACACCAGCATTTGTGGCCTTCTGACAGGGCTCCCCATAAAGACCACCAAAAAGCTCCAGCTTATTCAAAATGCAGCTAATAAAAAAATAAATAAAATTATTTATTACAAAATGTGGAAAATGTACTACATATTGGGTTCATGCTGTTTATTGCAAGGTGTGTTACAAAATGCAGGTGTTATTGCATAATTAAGTGAATATAAAATACATTTTGTCAAGTTATTACATAATGTGTTGTTACAACATGGCATATATGAAAGATTTGCATGTTTAACTTTGAGCATTTTTATTGAGAACTCTAAGAGTGAAGCTTTTGTACAAGTTAGTAATTTATATCGCATACCTGATAAAGAATATTGGTTGTACTTGATTGTGTTTGTTCCTTTGATTGCCAATGATTCAGAGAGAAACATAATAATATGGAGCTATGTCTTAAGTCACCTGACAACACAACTATTCCCTAAGGTCCTGTGAAGATACTAGTAAATCTGTCCAACTGAGGAAGTGGCTAATCATTTCAGAGTGATGCTACTGTAGCTCATTTAAAATTTCTAAGCCCCATAAAGTGTTCATTATGTGGACCACATTTGGCATGGCACAGGAGCTGATGTTAAAATGTGTAACTGGTAAATAATCCATGCCAGAAGACAAACTCCTGCAAACTGTAAAGACTAGATGTATGGCATATCCAATCCAATCCAACTTTATTTGTTGAGCACTTTAAAAACAACCAAAGTTGACAGATAAGACAGTAATGTGACGCCACGCTGCCAGAACATGCAGCACAACATGTGTGATATGACAAATATAGATTTTTTTGGCCTCCTGGTAAGTTAGCAGCAACATCAGATAAAATCTCTACTAATTAAGAAATAGTTGGTTGAAAATTAAGAAGTATGCTAATGATGCTAATTTGGCATTAAAATGGAAATTGATGTTTGCCAATGTATGCCTGTATTGGTGTTTTTCTGTCACTTATCTACCACCTCATCTTGACTTGTGTCATCAACCAAACAAACAGCATGCTAACACATATGTGACACTATCGGATGTATGTATGTAGGGCACTGCGTGGGCCGGTATGAGACCACGTCATTAATCATACTTACTGGCTGGAGCCGTTGGGTTTCGCTCAAGGCTGCTGGAGGCTCCACATTACTGCTATCAACCAGATATGAGAAGCATTCATAACATCACTACACAAAACTGGGTCACGTAGTGCAACCCTACCATCTCACAGACAAGCTTGTCTTACTGCACTTGTGAAGTTCTTAGCCTTTCACATGAATCCCCTAAATCTTATCCTTTACCAAACCGACACATCCTTCTACCATAATTTCCCCATTTTGTTGTCTGCATCATCTTAATCTTTTTTGTACTTTTTCATTGAGCTCATTGGACTGATTGGACCTCTGGCCAAGGGAAAAAAATATTACATTTTTTATATTTTATCATTGATCCACATTCGAGTTTACAAGGTGCTATTATTATTATGCCACAATATAAATATATTTCTATCTTCATCACCATTATTGACAGTTTGGTGCATCAAGAAAAAGTCATACTGAATCAGCTTCACAATTAGCCTGAAAATGTCTGAATGACTTTTACATGGAAGAAAAAAAACTAGGATGAATACTGCAAGATGTTGAGTGATAGGGGATGTCATTTTTTTAACGTATTCAGCAAATTTCCGGATATTTATTTGCAGTGGACACTGGAAGTCACGCTTACTTCAGCCATGTGAGAGCAGTTGTGCCTTTTTAAATCATTTGCATCAATTAGATTCAAGGGGTTCAATATTGTTACTGTATACTTCAATACTACTAATACTGTGGTAGCATCTCAATTTCCCAGTTTCTATGATGATTGTACAATAAGGCACATAGACTAGTTTTTCTTAACAAAACTTTTTCACAAAAATAACTAGGTCAGTCTATACAACCTTCAGCAGATACATGGGCAGCATGATGACACTTTATATATACACATATAGGAGCTGCCTCAATCATTCAACCGTCCAATCAGAGAACTATAGTGATTAGCTTGAGAGGTGATCAACTTGATCCACTCAAAGCATATACGTCATCGGTCAGACAATAGCACTAAAAAAAACAAAAAGATACAAAGTACAATAAAAAGCAACATCCAACAGAAAGAAAATATGTCTATTTAAGAGCACACATACTGAAACAACACATTGTATAAACCAAATAGGGACCCAAATTTCAATTCAGTTATGGTGGCCCCACCTCTGTATTTACTACTGCACCTCTGCTATATTTAATTATGTACAAATAAGGGTCAGAAACAGGCTGAGACACCAAATTCCAAAATCTAATGAGATGTTTACAGAGTCGAGGAGTCATTGTTATCTGTAGGTGATAGGGATGATGTGCTGGGGATGTTTAGCAGTCCTACTGGGCTCCAGCTCTTATCTCTACCATAGTTACTTTGGAAAGAGGCTTGCTGTTGCCAAGGTAACACCGAATAGTCATCCAAATAATCAAACAAACGCAAAAGTGAACAAGAGCAAAATGTCCACAATAGGAAGAGTTTTCTTCTCATTTGAAGATTATTAGAGACATTCATTCTTCTTCAATCTGCCTGTGATATTCCCATCTGTCCTTCGGTTTCATTAATCGTTGCATCTTTTTCTCTTCTTATCAGTCTGTGGGTCTGTGAGTCAAAGCACACAGCACACAAAAAAGTGGTCCAACCTTGGCAGAGATGATTTAGGAAAAATTCAAATCTCTCTCTCGTGCCCTCAGGGCTAAAGGACATTAGCCAAGCGGTGGAAGCAATAAAACGACTCTTTAAATTCCAAAGCAGCGAAAAGAGACCACCCAACAGTCTCAGCAGTATCCCCGTTTTAATCAAAGCAACAAGCCTGAGGGAAAGACAACTACAGAGGCAGTGAGCAGAGCAGTAGAAATCCCACAGTCTATTGTTTCCTCAGCTAAAACAAAAAATTGAAAGAAGAGAATCCGCTTGAAGAAGAAACGAGGGCAGTCAAGTCACTTCTGGATCTGCAGAACTTTAAGGCTGGCTTATTACACAATGTGGTAGCAGCCAAGTCTGCTATGTTTCCAGATAAAGAACAGACAAAGGTTTGTGTGGATGAATGGATGAACAATCCAGGCACACACAATAAACCTACAAGCACAATGACTAGTGGTAATTCCAATAGTTTTTGCTTTCACTTTATTATCATTTTGTAGGGCATTGAGAAGAGACTACAAATGGTGCACACTGGTGGTCACTTGTACTTGTTTATTTTGATACAGTGTTTATTGTATACGCCCATGACTGACAAATTAAAGAGACACTTGAACAAGTATTACAGTGACATCACCACAGCCACCAGATCAACACCTGTGGAAGACTTTGGAGCCAACCAGTAACCACATCTTTTGGATGAATGGTCATCCCTCTAGAAGTTCGGGGTGGAACAGCACTGTGCTAAGACACTTTATGTTGTTTTTTCAGCGAGTCTGTTAAGAAATGAAGTGTCCTATCATCAATTACCCTTTGGCATCCGTACTAATTAAGGTCACGGAGGTGTGTCAGATGTACAGATGCAAACATAATGGATTCATTTACTAATTCAAGAGAACACAATTCAAGTAAATTACTGCATGCTGCTTTCAGCTCACCAATCAACCTCCATTGACAAAACAAATAACATATTGGGAAAAGGTATATTTATTAATGTAGGAATTAAAAAGAACAATAAACCAACAAAGTGCCCCCAATCCTTAATAGTGTTCAATAATGTTTTTGAAAGTTTACATGCAGGGGCTGCCTCATACAAAGTAAAGACAACGAATGTGCAATGGTACATTTACAGATGCATCCAGAACCGCCAAGTTTAGGTGAATGTTACATATCGAGTTTTAAGTGTCCCCAGTGGAAATTTGAATCAGTAACTACTGGGGAGGAGCGAGTGTATCTTGTTGTTAATTTAAGCCTGAAATTAACATGGGTTGATCAGAAGTTGCAATAATTCTTAGAACTGAACTTCAGAGCAATGTTTTTGATCACAAAAGAGAACTTTTTAAGTTTTTTAATAAAAGTTGGTAAAGACACTTTTTACCCATTTGATACTCTTACTCAAAAAAAGTACATTACCTATACCTGCTACTCGTTTCAGCCCTAGTAACTACAGCTCATATAGCAGTTTATGTCCACAGATGAAATTGATGATCACATGCAATACAACAGTCTATCTACTTTTTAAAAAGAGACAAAAACTAAATGTCATAAGTTTGCATTTGCTTTGATGTGTTGTGCGTTAAGTAATGTGACCGTTGTCAGGAAGTGTTCAATCACAAATCCAGTGATTATTCTACATCAAAGCTGATTAACACTCACCTCTCACTGACAAGCTCCTCCGTCACCGGCATCTGGCCTGCAGCGCTGACATTCATGTAACCATAAATGCAGAGAGTCCCTGCAGACAGAAGATCACAATTAACACATTAACATAATCATTTATATTATTATAGGCTGAACTTTTAATTACAAATATAAAACAATTCATGCAGTCAACAGACTTTGTAGATTACATTAACATAAACTTATTAAAGCATATTAAAATTATGCAAATGCATCAATTTTCTTTGACATTTGAAGTCTGCTGCCAACTGGCCAGCACTGTGTGCTGCCTCAGATTTTGGGGGCTACAATGTTGGATTTAGTAGAGGGTAGACTGATGTTAAACTTGATCAGCCAAACTTTTAAGCTGGCATAAATCTTTAGTGCAAATTCAATAACTAATTTAAGTTAAACTGAAGGTTGAACTGCCTTTCTAAACTTCCTTTTCTTATTATGCATTGCACATAGAACAATCTAAAATAAAACGCTCCTATTTTATTAGCATTTTTGGCCACACCTTTATTGTGAAAATGTGTAATGTTTGCTAAGAGAACTCCTGGTTAAGCAAAGTAAGCAAATGAATAACTAAAACAATTCAGCAGTTGAGAGGTCAACTTATCCTTACATTATACTAACAGGTTGTGTAGTAATTTCACAATCAACTGGATTTCACATCATATCTCCAATTTAATTATCGGAAACATTTTGGAAAAAACAGCAGTATTTACCGAATCCATTAGTCACTTATATACAAAACATGTGAAAAATGGGGTCCGGGTTGAAAAATACATCAACACATTTCTAAAATGGAGACAATCCTGGGTAGCCTATAAGATAATATAATGCACTATGACATGATGTAACTGCTATCAATCAACAATCATGCTATCAACATAAATAAAATTAATACATTTTCATTTTTATACTTCAACTCAACTCCACAGACAATTGGTGTTTTGTGTTAGGCAGTGTGAATACATTGTTTTTTCTGTTACTAAATAAGCAACAACAGGGGTAACAAATTAACTCTATAACTCTAAAAATAGCAAAAAATGTCACACAAAAACAATGTTCTTTCATGATTTCGCTTGAGTCTTGGTACTAACATGAAGTAAGCCCAGTTTTGTGACATCTAGAGTAATTGTGCCGTACATAATCTTCTTACACAATATTCTCTCTGTCTCTCACAACACACAGATGCACAAGACCAAACAATCAGGCAACCATACACTCATGTAAACACTGACTTATATTACATTAGTGTAAGCTGGATTACCATCCAACAGATGTCATGTGTTTAAGATGCCGAATGCACACGCTCACCAGACTGGCGCACTTAAAGTCAACAATCATATGGATGAATTATTCTGGAGTTTTCACAGCCATGAAAATCTGTTCTTCTAGTTCCTACAGTGTGCTGTTTGAATGATGTATGAGCAGAGTTTGACACTAGAAGGATGTTTTGACATTCATCTGCTGAAAGTGGAAAGTTTCTCTGTGCTCATTGGAAGTCTGATTTTTTGCCTACCAGCATGATTTGTGACATCACAAATGGGTTGTGTGATGTAGAAACTTGAAGGCACCAGTGCACATACACTGAGAATGGACAACATTTACATATTCAGAGATTCTGGAATTTCTGGAAATTGTAGATTCCTTTTTAAGGGTTTTAATGTGGAAATTGTTTTGCAGAAAAACACCTTATTGTTCCACTTTATTGGTAGTTGGGGAATAAAGGAGACAGAAAACAATGCAAGCTTTGAAATGCATTCAACATGTTTGTTAGACTTCATGGAAACCCATTTCCACCAGTAAAATAAAACAATTATTTGAAAACTAACAATGTTCATGATAATTTAAAATTATAGGATAAACAAATACTTTTTTATCTTAACATGGAATTTATTTTTATTATCAAGGCTTAGTTTTCATCTTATTTTTTGTTTTACTGGTTAAACACAGGCTCCCAGAGGATAAACAGTGACTGCAGACATAACTTTTTTTTGCAATAAAACTCTACCAGGAGCCTTTAAACTGGACGCTTTTAGGGGCGTCTATTCCAGAAAACAAAAGATTTGATGGACATATAGAAACTAGCTAACCTTGCAGCACCAAGGAAGAAGGACCAAAAATGATTAGCACAACACATGGTTTAAATGAGACCTATAGAAACGAGGTTAAAGGTTAGCTGGACTATCACAATGACATATGAAAATGTCCCGATGAATAATCTTCATGTACAAGTATATATATGGGTGTTTGTGTGCCTGTCAGGAAGATTTATCCTCACATATGATGCACTCAGAATAAAGGAGATGGCCTTAATCGAGTGTCTCATGAATACATGTGTGCAGCTCTGTGCTGGTAGACGTAACCTCATCTATATTCACACACAAACACATGCAAATCCATCCACCAAACCAAACAAGCATGCATGTTTGTATGTACTCAGGCATAAAGGATTCCTGAGATGTTGTGAGGTGCTTTGGATTCAAGCAAATGGCACATATTCCATTCACATTTGAAGACCAAGCATACACACACACACACACACACAAACACACCTACACACACACACACACACACACACACACACACACACACACACACACACACAAACTTTAGGCTTGCCTAATTTCTTTTATAATAAAGGGTAAAGCTCTCATATCTACATATTTGGATAGGTTGGACCTCAGATTAAAAAGCAAATCACAGTAAAGCATAATAAATCTATGGCTATATATTAAATATGTCTAGAGCCAGAGAAAATGAAATTCTTGAATTTAATATCTGAACATCAAGATGTGAGAGCATCATGTACAGTTTGATAATTATTTTGTAAACGTAATGTACTAATTAAGAATGAAGAGCCTCTATTAACTCTACAAAATGGCTGGGATAAAGACATTAACTTGTCTTGCTTTCATATTGACTTGTGACCTTAAGAAACCACTGATATGCAGTATTTTGCCATAGTATACAGTACATCAATACATACACTTGGACACACACACACACACACACACACACACACACACACACACACACACACACACACACACACACACAAGCTGCTAGACCCCACCTGATAATCACTAATGGGACTGGATCTAAGCATTAAATTCAATTCAATTCAATTCAATTTTATTTGTATAGCCCCAATTCATAACAGAAGTTATCTCAGGACACTTTTCAAATAGAGTAGGTCTAGACCGAACTCCTTATAACATTTACAGAGACCCAAAGGTACCACCATGAGCAAGCACTTGGCGACGGGGGCAAGGAAAAACTGCCTGTTAAAAGGCAGAAACCTAGGACAGACACTTCGGCTCTAGGTGGGTGGTCGTCTGTCTCGGCCAAAATAAATTAGGCTCACTGCACAACACAAAGCAATGAGTGCTCTGCAGACACAGAATCTCCACACCATGAGAAATCCATTATGTTGTTTCCATCATCTCTGAATAATTAGGGCAGCTGTCTATGTGGCAAGTGCCAAAGTTAACACATTCTGGTGTTTAAATGGCACTCAGTTAGTCCAGGTTGTATGTGTTGGCAGCAGTGTTGGGCAAGCTACTTGAAAAATGTACTCCAGAACCAGGACTACATTCATTTTCTAATTACACCTCAGCAGACGTAATTAGTTACATTACTCACTACATTACTCCAGCTAGTGAGCCCAGCTCAGCAAAAGTTGCCTTTCAACAACAACAACAACAACAAATCCTGCACACATCACTTCATCACATCCTCTGCACATAAAGAGAAACAGAAATCAAGTGTTTTAACAAACAGACAGTCTATGGTTTGAAAGAATTTAGAAATGAAAGATCCAGTGTGTAACATTTATTCATTCATCTGAATATAGGTATTGTTGTGTTTTATTTTCTATTAGAATTAGCCGTTTTTATCTAAATACACTGCGGGTCACATTCCATAGAGTCCGTTCCATTTTTTGTGAGTTTCGTGGCCACAGTATTTTCTCCTTCGCGCTTAGAAAGGGTGACAATCTGCAACTGCACTAGGCTAAAACAATCACAGCTTCAATCACTGTTAAGTTAATTAAACTCTACAAGTTGTTGAAACTGATTACATCAAACTTTTTAAGTAAAACTAAATATATTTAGTCTTCAATCTTGCTTAAGGAGCTTTAGTAATTTTAAGTGAGAATGACATCATTTTGTAATTTTTATTTTTACTGTGAAAACATAATACCTAGTAAAAACAACTTAATCAGGAATGTTTCTGTGACATACACAATTACGTTAGTGCCACTTCAAATTATTAGTAAAAGCTGCTTAATCAAGAATCTTTTTTAACCTAAAAAAGTTTGTGTTACTTAAAGATTCTGATGTTAGCAGTTTCAACAGTGTTTTATGTTAAATTAATTTATCTGGTTTTACAATGATGGACCATTGTCAGCGCTGTAGTGGTTTTGTTATGTAACATTCCTTAATTTTTTGAAGATATAATTAATTTAGTGTAGCTTTATCTAAGTTTAATAGCAAGGGGCGAGAGGATGAAGATCCATGCATGGCCAGGTGTGGTACATTTTTCCTAAATATAACTTAATAATAACCCCAGCTGTCCAACAGCAAGTAGTAGCCCAGATTGGAGAACATCACTATGGTTGCATTGTGTAACTGCATTTACATTTAATACCATGAACGTACAAACTTTATTGGACAGATTTTTCACCACATGAGTGCTATGACTTGCAGTGTATAGAAGAAAGGTGGGAAAATCGCACCAGTGTGTATTGGTGTCACCACATGGGCTGTTATTTCGCCTCACAAATCCTTCTACACAACTGGTAAAGACCTTTTTAGTTATTTTTCCTGCTGCTGTTCTCCTACCTATGAACTAAATCGGAGCACCTTCAAATCAGAACATGAATGCACAGGGATTTGTGTGGCAGAACACACGCTCACATGGCCACAAAAGTACATACTGATACAGATTTTCCCACCTCCTTCCTACACATGTACAATGCAGGTCATGGCACCAGTGCGACTGAGCACTCATTAATCCAGAACAGATTATTATATCATCATAAGACTGATTTGCCACCACTCTGAA